GTTTTGATATCGAAGTATAGTTAGTGCATGCATCTGTCCTTCACTTCTACGAACAAGATCCAATTCCTGCAATATCCAGTTGTCTGATTATAATTTCATCTCAGTCACATGTGAGAAGAGTGCTTCTAGTTTGACTCTACCAAACACCACACGTTTTCTTGAGGTACTCTGATTTCCATCTGTAAGAAAACTGGAGCAAATAGGATAGGAATCATGAGAACTGTATGTATCAGCTTTTTCTTTTGCAATTTTTTCCCAAAATAAATCATTGGTTTGCTATGGATCTTTTCTTCAAAAAGCATACAGAAGTTTCAATGTGATGTTCCACAAGGTTTTAAACCTGGGCCCTTCATTGTTTTGAAGATATTTAAATAAAACATGTTTCTAAAAACTGCACTCTTATAAACAAATTTTCCACAAACTTTGAATTCATTTTTGTTCAACATTCTACATTGTACGCATGGCTCATGCATGACTATAAAAACACATCCATCAAAAGATGATACTGTGCTAAAATGATATTATAAGTTGAAGTATATGTTAATAAATTCGATACATTACTTGTCTAATATTGACTTGAATCACTAGTGGTTCTATATTAAGATATATGTTTAATTGTTAAATTAACAAAATCCCAGTTCATGATATCTATCAGAACAGAAGATTGTCAATTTTTCAAGATCGTCTGTTTTGTTTTTGAACATCGCTTTACGGGGTTAGTCCGTGCTGTCAAGATCCTGGTTTTCGATTAAATGATTCAGTTCCAAGCAGAGAACCTAAAAAGTTGATATATTTAAATAATGGTGATGGTGTCCCTCACTACAACAGCAACTGGTCCGCTTGGATGACTTTTTATATTCATTCTCCAACCATCTCCCTTGCGGAAAAACACTGAATTCTCCAGTTCACCTGTTTCAGAGTAACCAAGCAAGAAGCAGGAACTTTGTTCCCTAACATAGGCTGCAACAATTATTTTACAAATGCCATGATGAAATGCCACCCGCCGGGCTTCATGACCCTCTGGTACTCTTATTGTGGATTTTAAGTTACCTTCTGTTGAGTATATTTGAACAGCGCTGTGATCATCTGATACTATCATGATGTCATTGTTGTTAGAAATACTCAAGCTGCGTATGTTATCTCCATCTCGTATAAACTGAAATTTCAACTTTTCTGTGTTTTCACAGATATATACCAGGGTATTCCAATTTGTGAGCATGATTAGGTATTGGTTTTTGTCAACAGCAATGTTCACATTTCCAAATTTTCTATCAAGGAAATCCAATGCGGATACATGCTTGATGTTATAATTCTCGTCAAAAACGTACAACACAAAATGTTCCTTTCTACTGCCATTTTTATCATATGTCGCACACTGTTGTACAGCATACACATTGTCATTGCTATCAACAGCAACATCAACATCAATATCCTTGTCACGTCTTGTAATATCGTTACTTTCTGTGGGTTTGGGGAGCATAACAACCTTGCTTTCACCTGTGCTGTAAAAAACCGTGATTTTGTCATTATCTAGTACAATAATTTCACCACGGCTATTCACAGCAAACGTAGCCGTCTTTATTCTCGAATCAACAACCACTCGGTTCAGTTGCTGAACAAATGCTTCCCTACTGGACGTCTTTGTCACAATCTCATGTGTGTTTAGGATTGGATGAAATGTACGATCCTTCAACTTTATTCCAGGCCAGGTAAATAGGTAGTGAGATTTACTGCTATACTTGGAAGCGAAATCATATAAAGCATGATTGATGAACAAAACAGACAGTATGTTTTCTAACCGTTCTGTTTTCTTATACTTTGATTTCAGTCCTCCAGTAAGAAAAACTGCGAACATTTCTTGGATTGCTGGTAAACCATGTAGCTCTTTAAGTGACGACAAGCAGGCAGTAGTTGCGGCTTCCGGGTCTTCAAGACCTGATTCAAGAATACTGGCTGCCACACGTAACTTGCAAGCCATAATTTGATCTTTGATGGTCAGAGATTTGTTGTTGAAAGCATGTGTGGCTGCCTCGCGAGATGCTTTGAAACGATCTTGAGCAGAGTCGAACCGCTTATTGGACGAGATTTGTAATCGTTGAGTCGGTTGAGGAAGTGATAAGGCTCCTTTCAAAATACCAGATGCTGTATCATTCATAACTCTTGCTGCTTCGTCTGTTGGACCCTCGCTCGCTTTCTGATCTTCATTCGACTCATCAAGGGCAAGATTCAACAATTCCACACCTTCTTTCAGGAAACTATAACTGCTATCGAGATCTTTAAGCGACAGACAGTCGAGTTTCGACTTGATGTCGGTCAAATCCTTAACAATTATTTCACGCAATTTTTCATCCGCTAAATCTCCGTCCTTGAGTTTATTTGCAGCACTATCACGAGCATTGTCGCACAATAAACCCACGGTCGATCTTAAAATGGCCGTAATTATAGAAGACATGACTTTCTCAAGGCAATATTCAGCGAAGGTTGAAAGGAACTTGTCGCGTCGTAAACTTTTTCAACGTGTGGCAGAGAATTGAATGCTTTTCGAGAAGCACATTGCAAATCGCGTATAGAAATGCAATCGGCTGAATTATTTTTTTGAGATAAGTAATATTTATTTATATAATTGCTTCGATTTGAAATTCCATGCAGTTTCGATACAAAGGCTGAATTGAAAAGAGCAATGGGTCTAAAATGGGAGCTGAAACTATATTTAACATTTCAATGGCAATTATTAGATGCATGACTTCTCGTTGTGTTATTATGAAACAGTGCGTCAGCATAATTCAATCAAGTTTAGAATTTAGCAAAGTTGAATTGTGTTGATTTAGCCAAGTGAAGTTGATTTCGGTAGCTAGAAAATAGACGATATAGGAAATGTTTGCATGCTTGAATAAAGCAGAACATTCAGAAGTTAATAGTTTCGGTCATCTAAAGGAATACAGTTGGTTAAATGGTTTTATTTAAATAAGGTTAGATTCAATGGACATTTGCATTATAGAATAAATTTTGATCTAGACAAAAATTTCATCACAGCTTGAAAAAGCATCACAAAATTAGTAATATTCCAAAGTTTCGTTGCGAAATGTTGTAAAGTGCAGATAATATAGCCTTGCGAAGTTTGCCGTTTTTCAGTCATTTTGCATTACGCACGGGAAATTGACAGCCCAATCGGGTGTTGAGGCATCAATTTCCCGTTTGTAATCTAAAATGACTGAAAATTGCAAATTTCGCAAGGTTATATTTTCCGCATTTTACATCATTTCGCAACGAAACTTTGGAATATTACTAATTTTGTGATGCTCTTTCAAGCTGTGATGAAATTTTTGTCTAGATCAAAAATTTAGTCTATAATGCAAATGGTCCATTTATATCATTCCCTGCAGTTTTGATACAATGATTGATTTGAAAAGGAAAGGGTGCAGGAATTCTATTAAAGATCTCAATAACAACCACTGGACTGATATGACTGTTATTGTAGACTTATCCAGGCTCTTCCTGGATTTCGATAATAAGTTCACAAAGGTTAGGGTTGATGATTAGAGTTTATGGCTGGGGTTAGGATGGCGAGGATTAGTTTACAAAGTCAGAAATCAGAACTTTTCGGAGACAAAGGTTTTTAAGACTGAAATTTACACGCCATGATGCAACCTCGTTCCCAGGCTCTTTGCTCTTGGGAAGCAAAGACCCTGGTCGGAGCTGGTCACGTGAACCCCCAGATTTTGGGGGTAAATTGAATTTGACCTCAGGGAGGGGTAGTAGAGGAGTCTGTTTGTTGCGTTTGGAAAATT